AGCCCCCCCCCCCCCCGGCCCCCCCCCCCGTAACCCCCCAAGCCTTGTCCTTTGTGGCTCAAGGAGATGGAGACTTTCCACTGCGGCTCTCCTTGTGACTGGGATAAACATTACACCGAGCCTGTTAATGGTTAATGCCTCTCGGTGTGTTTTTTTCACCCCCACCCCCATTAAGGTGAGTGCTCCCTTCTAGACCTCTCCTCAGACACCCTCCACCTGCAGACAGACAAGCATCACCATGGCAGACGGTAAGAACCCCTGCTGGGAGAGGGAGAGCCCTGATTGGGGGGGGGACCCCTGTCCTGCCCCAAGTTGGGCTCCGGAGGGGTGCCTTCTCCTTGCTGACCGTGTTTGTGCGAGGCAGTGTTCTGGCCTCACAGGGGCGAGGGGCAGGGAGAATGCACCCCCATCAACAGGGAGAATGCAACCCCCCTTTTTTTTTTTTGCTCCAGCCACACAAGTGAAGCTGGAGGGGAAAGAGAAGGAAACAAGGCCCCCCCCATCCCATCCCATCCCATTTTAGGTATCCTTTGCTCTCAGCCCTCACTGAAGGGTCACCCTTGACCCTCAGGCCTCCGGGGTAGGGGAAGGGGGCAAGACGCTTTCCCTCGCTGGCAGGGACCAGAAGCCCTGGAGGAGCTTCACCGTTTGTGTCCGCGCGCAAATGGGAGAGATGGAGGCTTCACCTCCTGGGCCCCAACAGACTTGCCAGAACGTGGTGGCCCCAGGGAAGAGCTTCTGCCCCCCCAACTCTATCAGGATGGGGGGGGTAGGGGAAGGGGAGGCGGCAGCAGGCATCCTAGCCCAACTTCTATGCCAAGAGAGAAGGGGCATATGTTTCCCCCCCCCTGTGGGAGCTCTCCCCTCTGACATGGCCCACGTATGTGGCCAGAAGATCACTTTTTAAATGTGCTACAAGCAGCACTCAGGATTGGGGATCTCAGGGCGGCACCGAGCTCCTGTTTCTCCAGGGCGGAGGGAGCCGCTTGAAAGGTCTGGGAAGAGGGCTTCTCCCTGGGAGGCACCTGGAGCTAGTAGTGGCCTGGAGAAGCCTGGGGCGGGCGAAGCCCCCAACGCAGAGGGGGCAGACATTTCTGCAGAGACGGGCAGGCACCGCGTTCCCCTAGGCTTCCCCGCAGGGGCTGCAGGGCCTTCTGGCAGGAACCTTTCAGCAGCTGGGCCAGGGGACTGCTGCGGGTGGCTCAGGAGGGGGGCTGGGGAGCCTGGCTGGAAGGGAGCCGCCCGCCTGCCCGCCTGCCCGCCCGCCAGCCTCCCCGCTCCCCCGGCCTTTGCCTCGTGGACTGGGGCAGGGAGGC